CAAAAAACAATTCTGTTAAGTCAATAAACATGCCAAGTAATCTAGCTGTGGCCAGCATCAACAAGAGAAGCTGTACTGTGGATGAGATGACGACTGGATATACGGCTGGTGACCAGAGACTGGCACAGTTAAGGGGGTTTCACTGTTACTAAAATGCACAAAGAAGCCCAACAATAATTTAATTCACATTTTTTTCCTCCAGCTTACTCTTCTCCCTCTTCGGGGTTTCACCATAGGGCAGCACCTAGAGTGAAGGCACTGCAGGAACAGGGCAAAGAAGCTGTCCAAGAACTTTGTGTAGCCAGGGCTATAAGTCAGAATATCAAAAGCATGCATCAGCTAGACGAATGGTTAAACAAAATCACTCCTCTGGGGACTTCAGCAACCCTCAGGAAGACTGCAGGTACAGTTGCCACACAGGCTGGCAGCACCAGAAACTGATTCGGCTTTTTTTTTTAGTGCAACCAGATTTGTAATTGAGACCTGTGGGACACTGAATTACTGTGATAGCACACATTGAGTTAACAAAAACCCAGAGCAGTAAGTACTGTTGCATTAAAAAAATTCACATTTGTTTTTTATGGTACATTTCCTCAAATACTTTGAACCGACTCTATTTACTAGGGACCTCTGATGTGGCTGAGGCACCGTCTGGCCTTGAACCCTCTTATCTGTCATCGAGATGCTATGGAATTTATTATGTCCATACTCGGAGATGAGAACCCTCCAAAACTGGGTTTCACCTTGTAAGCAAAACTCGAACGTAATCAATCGGAATGAAAATTAGCTATTTTCCATATTCTGATGGTGTGGAAGTTGCGATGGATGTAGGAGCAACAGGTGCTCCTACATCTGCATTTTCTCCATCCCTGCAGGGCGCACAAAGCTCCCGTTCTATTTGCATATAAAATGCTTCATGGTTCATCTCAGAGGGAGACCGGCAATAGTCTCAGTGCTCTTACATCCTGCGGCTGGAGGGGGAAGCCAGCAACCAAGAAGCGACTGAAGCCCTCATATAAAAACTTTAAACCATAGCTTAAAAACAATATAATTTTATCCCGTAAGGGACATATAGGGATCATAGTCTTATAAAATATATTTTACTGCATTGGCAGCTATTACTTTTTTAAAAAGTTTAAATTCACACCTTTTAGACTCAAGATACATGTGAACCCAGAACCATTTTCAATAACCTAGTCTACTAATCTCTCAGTATGAGAGACTTGACCATAGTATCTGCGAGCCTGACAACTGAACTCAAACTGTAGTAAGACAGACAAATCATCAGGAACACATATCTTTTTTAGTGTGGTGTAAGAATAGTGACAAGCAGTTCTGACGGGGAGCTTAACTTGCTAAATGTGTAGGCAGCCCCACGGATTTCCAGGGGAGTTGTGCTATGTGTCTGCATCAAAAAACAAAACAAACCCTTACAACTTGGCCAAATCTCCCGCACAGCTAAAACATCACTTCTTTTTCTTCCACTCTTTATGGGGAAATAGAAAGCTTCTGAATTTTTTCCCTGCTCCCAAAACACCATGTTAAATCAGGAAAAAACCTGTCCCTTCTTTTCCCATTGTTCCCATCAGACGTACTGCTCTACACAATATGCACGGAGTAAAGACCCTGCACAGACTCCGAGAATCCGGGTCCCTGGCATACGGCAGAACCTTGCTAGTTCTGTGACAGTGAAGGCACTCTGCTTGCAAAATAAATGGGTGAGGAAAGGATTTTCCACTGAGTGCAAAGATTGGTGCCACATGGGAGAAGGATATGCAAAAGCAAGACATAAATCACTTTGTGAATGAATTTGGAGACTACTCATTGACAAAGAAACTGCTGCAATGGGTCACACGTGTAGCTATTTGGAAGAAATTCTAAACAAATTACAAGGGCCACAAAGATGATGAAGGGACTAGAGCATCTACCATACAGGCTGAGAGTGATCGGACTGGTTTCTCTGGAGAAGGCTCAGAGGGATCTTATCAACGTATAAAACTACTGGGTAGAAGGGGGTAAAGAAGATGGGAGCCAGACTTTTCTCAGTGGGCAGAAACTGAAATACAAGTCATCCCATCTAAACATGCTAAAACCTTTTTTACGGTGAGGGTCATCAAACACTAGAACAGGTTTCCCAGAGAAGCTGGGCAGTCTCCATCTTTACAGATACTCAAAATCTGACTGGACTGACCAACCTGTTCTCGCTGACTCCGCCTTGAGCATGGGGTTTGCACTAGATCATCTCCAGAGTCCCTTCCAGTCTCAACTATTCTGTGATTCTGTGATCCTTGCCAAGCAGAAATATAAATGCATACCAAATAATGGGTTTTGGGGTGGGGGGGGTGGGAAGAAAAAAAAAGAAGAAAAAAAGCAAGAGAAAAAGAAAATGTAGTCCAGAGTTCAAAACCCTCTGGTAATGTATTGAAAGAAATTTATGCTTTAGGTTTAATCCCAAGTGTAGTTTAAGGCAAGTTTCTTCTAGCTTAGTTAGAAATCTATCTCACTCAATTTGGAATCAAAGCATATTAGCAACAGAGATTGTTTTAAGATGTCCTATGTTTTTACATCTCTCCTGTGAAGAACACCAGCATTTCAAAGAACTGAACACTTCCAACAAGTTAGGGAGGAGAAATAGAACGATATTTGTATTTAATCTGTGTTCACTTCTATGGAGAAAAGAGATATTAACAAGAAACAATTACAAACAGGAAAATTAACAAGTAAACCCAACCCGAAAAAACAAACAAACAAAAAAAATCCTCTAAGAACTCTATTGTTCCTGCAGGTGAATCAGATTGAAAAGTGAGAATTAAATTAAGATGTTACACAGAGATTACAGGATTGAAAAGATAATGTGTAAGACAGCGCAATGAACAATGAAACCCATGACTTGCCTTGTACCACGGTGTTAACAGTTAATGATACTCATTTGTTTTCAAGGAAGAACAGATTAGAGCCACAAAGTCTTTTTAACTTTTTTTCCCCTTCTCTTTGGTATTCAGAAAGCAGTTTGCCTTCTGACACAAAATTTTAAGTCTTAAAAATCCAATATCCAGATATGTCTATTCTGTATTTGCACATCTCCTCACCGATAAACTGTTTAGCAAAATATCTAATGGGTGAAAATTATCAGACTCTAACAGAAGATTATGTCCATCTGTATCTGACCACCTTTGATTATTACATCTGTACAGTCCGGAAATGTGTTTCTGTGTGAAGTATTTTTTACTACATGCATCACAAAGGATTCTCATATACCTGCAAAGTGGAGTAACACTTATCAGAAAAAAAGAAAACTATGTATTTGAGTTCAGTGTCATAGCCCTATAATTCAGGATAAAACTCAGCAAAAGGCATTGTCTTGTCTCACTGGCTTCTCAGTTACAGAAATCAGAAGTGGAAGAGAGTGGTTTTTAAATTCAGCCCATCAACAGACACTGGAATAATTCACAGTACAGCATCCCAAAAAAAGAATTTCTCCTTCAAGCCCTTTTAAGACGAATTACAAAGGTAGACATACAAGACTGAATTGTAGCAGAGAACTACTTTGCAGCATGTTTCTAAAATACCCTTTGGATCTGGTAAAGAAACTTCACTCCAGTAAACTTGGAAAGGACTTAAATCCCAACTGTTTTCCTTCTATTTAACTAAAATGTGTGTTTTTTACCTAAAACACAGCAGAGAAAAACTGTTAAAGTCACTGAAACCCTTTAAGCTCTTTCCAAAGGGCGATAAACTTTTTTCCTTACAAAAGTTGGCTATTAGTAGAAACAACTCAGACCTACAGAGCTGCCTAAGCTAACTGAATACAAATTGATCTTGCAACATAATACGACTTTTGTGTCTTCTGTTTCTTCAGGAGCAACCTTTCTCGATTGGTTTCATTTCCTCCTCATGTTTGTGTAAAAACAAATCCGAACAGAAAACAACAATTTAAAAAAACAAGATTCAAAACTAAGGGAGTATATCATGCCTTTGGAATACTAAGATCAAGTAATACCTACTCGCTCAGCATGTCATCTGTAGGCGACAGGCATTTGGCATCAAACACTGAGTTAACTTCAGAAGCAATAAAAAAAATCACAAACCTGCTAATGTATTTCCCAATTCAGGTTTCAAAGCAGTACTATAGCCCAAACAGCCTCGACAAAACAAGACTCACTGCTCTGAAAATCCCACACCCTAAATTTGCAGCTTTTTCTAAATATGGAAAAATGAAATTGCAAATCTTTCAATTTATTGCTTACTTGAGCTGTGTATGTAGCTGGAGTAATGGCCTTTAATAAACCGAGTTGGCAAGGATTTAAAATGTTTTGAAACAGGAACAACTCATCATTGCTATATAGGCTTTTTGTAAACAACCCCCTGTTGGGTTAGAAAGTTGGCCTCTAAAGAGAATAAATTGCTTGTTTTGTCCAAAACAGACTAATAAAAATCTCAGAAACTATACATGCATATGCATAAATAAAAAAAATGTGCAATAATGCACAAAAGAGCTCATTTTTTCCCATCTGTAAACTCCCTCTAGCTAGCTTTTGGAGATTAGTACAAATACAGTATATATGATAGGGGGAAGTGACCAGAACTGCAAACAATCTGGCCGTGAATTTAAGAATTTCAGTTTGGGAAAACCTTCTTTTTCATACGTGGTTCCCCTTCTATGGAAAGATACAGTCATGAGATATTTGTCAGGCTTGCACGGATATATACTTTTCTATCATCCTCAATTCATTATGCACCATTAGACGTAGTATTTCCACGCCTAACCTTAGATGGGCAAATCTGCAGAGGCTATTTGATCAAGCAGTTTCTAAAAGGACTAGAATATAAGAAGTAGGAATACCTGGCATGACATCACTTGGTTTGTCAAAACTGATTCATCTGAGATGAAAAGGGACAATGTGTTTTTAAAAAGCGTGTGACTGTTAGTTTCAAAAATGCTTACCATTTCCAAGAAAAGGGTTACAGTAAGCGCTTTGAAAAACAGCAGGCACAGAGATAGGAAGTGTCATTTTTTTATGCAAAGATTAAAGCATCCACTCCAAACTAGTCAAAACTGTTCAATAATGATTTCCAATGCATCCTTTTGTTTGTCATTTTAAAAAGGTTTCCTCTGATTTCTTTCCCTTAACCAGAGGGTCTGCAGAAGCAAGAGAAACTTAATGAGCTGCTCTAACTGTGGAAGAAGAAATAGTTAAAGTGATCTGAATCGGTTGTTCTTCTTTAGAAGTGTATCACAGCTTCCATGATGTTCTGACAAGATCTTTTTGTGCATTCAGTCTTAAATATTTTCACAGAAGTGATCATTCAGTCATGAAAAATAATGTAACATCTGTTGCAGTTTTCTGTTTAAAGCGTAGCTTACAAAGTAAAAAGGGAAAATCTCCCCACTTTTGTTTAAAAAAATTAAATTAAAATGTACAGGACCAAACACAGGCACTTTCCAAAGAACAAAAATGAAACCAAACCATGAATTATTCAATAGTAATAGATGACAGCTCCGGTTTCGGAGGGTCACCTGCGGCTGCCTCAGCAGTGGCGTTAGTCTTTGGCTGCTCTGGCACATCTTCTTCCTTCTCTGCCAACCCACCCAGAGACCCCAAGGGGAAAGTGCTTTCACAATTCTGAGTTGACGACACCTGTGAAATGACAGGCATTTGGACAGAAGAGTTGCTTTCAAAGCCATGCTCCCCTAGCTCATACTGCCCGAGGGTCTCTTCTTGTTCCTGGTTTAAGTAGTCCGGTACTAGGAAGTCACTAGAAGAGGGGCAAAGGACAGAAGAGAAATGTCATTTCTCACACAAACATTAGCGCTATCAGTTTCTTTGTATCAGTTACATCGCACAAGCTACATTCTGCATTGCACAGAGAACAAAGATATTCATTTCACGTTGCTCTAAGATCATCACAGCGACATACTTCACTAAGCACTGTAACCTGGTTCTCATTTAAACACACAGAGAATTTATTCAAAGGCATCTATTTCACATTGTTTTGCATCCGTATTTCCTACACAGCAACTTCTTCGTATTATTTAGACTGTATCACCTTGATGAGAATGAAAGTTAATGTCTGGAACATCATATGGCACTGAAAACCTCATTGAAAAAAGGGAGCACTCAACCTTTAAAAATAGAAACAAAAATGAGTTCAGCACTGGCAAAGATGTGGGCCTTTTCCACCACTGAGATAAGATCCACCCAAGAAACAGCAGCAGCACTCCTCTCAGAGTGGACAGGCTGTAAACAGAAGCATGAGGCGAGGAAGCAAGGGTTCTGCTGAAAGCATAAGGAGGCTGCCAACTACAGCGGTGTTTTGTGATGTTGACATGTATCACACCACTGTGAAAAGAACGGAATTGCATTTCCTTCCCATTTCAGTGCTTTCTGGACAACAGTTCTGTAACTTACTCTTACCAACTGATGGCTGAGTGTATCCAAAGAAAATCTACCAAACTCTCCAGTAGTATTTTCAGAGCATAAGCACATAACGAAAATAACATTTCTTTGCAAATTTTCAGCACCAGACATGTAAGTTTGTACTTCAGGCAAGTATATATATATTACATATATGCACATTTGTACGCTTTGGTTCCTCCTTGTAACAATCCATTTAAAAGCAGTCCTTTCCTTAAATGACAGCAGCATTCACTGCTTCAAATCCAAATTCACAATCAACTACGCTAAACCTAGTGTTCATAAATTCAAACTAAAGGAAGGCCTACAGACAACTAAAATCACATACTTTAATCCGACTTTAATTTGATGACAACAATAAAGTGCTTACCACAATCATGGCATCATCCCTTAAGAGTTTTTGCTCTAGTTTTGGCACAAGTGCTAGGAACAAGAACTGCGTAAACCCACAGACGTGAAGCACTTGTACTTTTAAACAATATTCTGTTGGAAAAACAGCGACTGGCTTTCCTGATTTGTTTTGCAATTTTTTCATCCTACATCACTTCTGAGATAATCAGATAGGACAAAATGCTGAAATGTTATGTAGGGGAAAAAGCATAATGTCTAGAAATCACGAGGGATGGTATTGTAGATGCCGTAACATTTACAATACATTTCTTTTGCATTGCTGAAGACAGATGACTTATACACACCAAGCTGCACCCTCTCTATAGATTTAAGAGCTGCGATCTATCTTCCTCCAATTTCCCTCATCCACTTTCGTATTTTTCTATCTCAGATTCCAACGGTTACAAACATTTATTTCAATATGAGAATACAGTGCTAGTCTCATGCCTCAGAACCCTTTTAATAGTCTTTAGTGAAGTGCATTTGTGAGATATGCCATATGAGATCTTTTGTGCCCTGAGAAACAAGAAATGTCCAACTGGTCCCTACTATTTCAAACCCTATTAGTCTGATCATTTAGTAATACGTTACCTAGAAAATGAAAAAAGAGAAGGTATGGAGTCATGCAATCTTTCCACAATATCCACCATCAAGCAAGTACTTAAAATGAAGTAGTAAGTCTATTCCCTATGTAAGTGAACAGGCTTTTGAAGAAGATTTTGAACAGCAAATAATTTACAGAACTCCACAGATGCTATAATATAGAATGCTAAGGCTTAATACCATTAGCCTCTCCACAGATACTACTGAAAAGAGAAGTTAAGTAGCCCAGAAGCAGCTTCTGCATATCACTCGATTCTTCAGTGCCCTCCTATAGAGCTTATATGCTGTAAGACAGATCAGATATAACAGATAGTGGCGCAAGAATGAATTTGACTGGAATTAGCTGGCAACCTGATGAGAGGCACAGCAGGCTGCCCTGAAAGCAGGAAAAGATGATTTAGGAAAAAAAAAAAAGAAAAAAAAAGAAAAAAAAAAAGCAAGTTTCCCTGTTGGGTTTTTGCTGTGCACCTCACCTGCTCTGGAAGTAGTTTGCTAGCTCTGACGCTTCATGGTTCAAGCTCCTCAGGTGAACGATTAAATTTCCAGAGTTGGTGAACATGGCGCCACATGTTTTGCACTCGTAAATCCGAGGCTTGCGGATAATATGCCGGGAAACCCGCATGTGGTGTTTATATTCCCCGAAGGAAGTGAAAGTGGCACTACATATCTGGCACCGGAAACAGCGTTTACCTTCGTGCTTCAGGCGATGCATCTTTAGCGAGTAAGCTCGGGTGAACTTTTTCCCACAGCGGTCACACTGAAATGGTTTAATGCCTGCGGAAGAGAGAGCAAAAAAACGTTCACCTTTTGTAATGAGAGGTCACTGGCAAAATCCTTCCAGATTTCTAACAGTAAAAAGACAGCAGCTGTGGCCAGTCACAGCGAAGCGCTGTTTTAGGAAGAAACTCTCTGGTTAACTTTAAAATGGCAGAAACAATTATCACAGAGCTACACTTTCTCAGACCCAACTGCCAATAGATTTCATAACAATGTGACCTGTCCGTAACGCTTACACGTCTTCTTCCCCACAGTCTAAAATGAACATAACCCTCCATGGATGATACTATGGTTAAGACCCTGAGCCACAGCCAAAAAGTATCCGATGCAGCAGTCATCTCAAACTCTTTTGATCTCGGGAGATTCTTGTGCCAGACTGGTTCCCAACAATGCAATTATCAGACTACCCTTAATTGCAATGTCTTTTTCTGGCTGCCTTTGGCCTCAGAGAAGTGTTCTGGCAGGGGGACTGTGTGCACAAGGATGCCCCTGTAATGCAGCAGGA